ATTTAGACGTTGGGATTTATTGAGTATTTCTTTATTTTTTAATGCTAGGGGTTGTAAATTTTATTTTTATGAAAGGTAATTGAGTGGAATTTTTAATTATTGAAAATTTGAGTGTGTGTTGCAGCTATAACTAAGAGAGCTCAAATTCCGTTCTCGGCTTTAACTTCCAGCCAGCTATAGCCGCTCCTACACCAGTTCAGCTTTAGTTCATTCTTCAACACTAGTTACCAGCTGGCGTTTATATTTTGAATTCGGGGGCGGGATGGGGGGGGGGGGCCTTTAAGAGTCATGTGTACAAAGGTTTTGTTGGTTGGTTCCTGCTTAACCATAATTTATAGCGGGCCTAGGGGCTAATTTTTGAGTTTGATTGTGAAAAAATTATTGCTTGTCAACTTTTGAGGCAATTTAGGCCGTGATAGTGAGTATTTTAACTTTAGGTTTGCTGATTTAGCTTTTTTTCATTTATTAACTCATGCTTTAATTAAGGCTTTACGTTTTAAGTGTGCGGGGATGGAAATTCATAGAGTTAAAGATGTCAAGATATTCGTAATATGGGCAGGTTAGTGACATGATACCTGATAACTTAGGGTTGCGCTGAAATTTAGCTAACGCTGGCTCATTGGGGATAACCTTCTTGCTGGATTTTATTCTAAAGATTTAATTTTAGAAGTGCATTAATAAGGAAGTAATATTTTTAGATTTTATTGTATATGTTTTGAGTACTGGCATTAACAGTATGTCATACATTTTCGATTATTAACTATAGACAATAAGAAGTCTTTTCTAATATAAGTCTGTAATAATTGTCAGGAAACCATAGAAAAATGTAAAAGGAAATAATGACATTAAGGGTGAGGCGGTACAGGGGGGTGTTATTAGCTTGAGTATGTTCCCAGAGATTCTATATGATTTGGTTTGAGGTCCCCTTTAAAATTTTAGCTTTATTAGTGAGGAGGTTAGGGCCCATTTGGGTAATAATGTATAACATGGTTGGATCAAGGACTAGTTTAAAGACTGTTTAATTTTATCTTATACTATTTTTTTGTAAAGGTCTAGTGGTTTTTGCCGATTTTGTCGACTTTTAGGGCACCCCGTTGAAGACCAAGGAGTGCGGAGTCATTTTTTAAGAATTGGAATAAAGTTGGTCAAATATTTTTGGGGTGATGGAGGATTTGGGCGAGGTGATAAAATCTATTTACTGCAGTTAAGACAAGAATAAGATATTATAGTTTATATAAAAGGATTTTTTATTTGAATTATTGTCGTGTTTTTTATTTTTATTTAATAATAACCAATATATTTTAAATTATAATTTTTGCATTAAGCTGCAAAGGTTTTAATAGCTCCTGTAGGTGAATTTTTAGAAGGGAAATCTTCCAGTTTTTACATGAAAATGTATATGTGTTTTTACACTATAAAAAAGAGTGAACGGAATTCACCGCTCGGGAAATAAGTTAGAAGCTTTTTCACTGACTTCGATCTCCTTGACAGGAAAAATCATTTTATCATTAACAGTAATATGCCTCTGGATTTGGCTTCTGTCAAAATAAACTAGAGGTTTGGAACCAAAATGTAGGTCGAAACTAAACGCATCTTTCGCTTCTAATTTGAAAAAGGTTTTATAAACACTTATGATTGCAACTCATATGTCCTTTATTGACTAACATTTCCAGTCTAGATCATTCCTAAGGCACCTTTACGACCATTCATTAGTAGAGGCCTATGAGACAGGAATAGGAGGAGAAAACAATCCTGTAAATTCTTCAAGAGAAAAATTTGTAAGTTAGAGATATGGCCAGAGGGAGATTTAATGTAATTTCTACATCAACAATTAGAAAAATCACAGCAATAAGGAAAAATTGAAGTCTAAAAGTAGCCGAGCTTGAAGTCCTTAGATCGAATCCACACTCCAAGGAGGATATTTTTTCTCGTCTTATAACGGTATTTTTCGATATGAATTGTGGATAAGGCAAATTAAAAGTTGTACCTCTGAGATGAGAAGAGCGGATCAGTTGGTATTAGAATTAATTTTTCTAAACAATTAGACTTTCTAGTTGGAGCTAGACGTACCGTTAAAAAACTAAAAAATTTATCTCCCCACAGTAAATAAAAACATTAAGGAATAATCAAACTACTCAACGAAAATGTCAATACCAATCTGCGGCTTCAACTCCAAAGTGGTGGTTTGTTTAGAGAAGTGACATTTGAATAGGCGATAAAAACAGACTGTTAGGAAAGAAGTCCCAAGACACATGAAGACCGTGGAATCCATTGCTACAAAGGAAGGTATTCCGGTAGACTGAGACCTGCGATGAGAAAGATGCCTTCTAAATATTCATATGCTTGAAGGGAGGGTGAAGTAAACTCCCGAGGAGGATGGTTAATCCTATACTTGTATAGCTTCGTAAAGGTGTGAGTTTAAGGATTGCCGTGATGGTTCAAGTTACTGATGCTCCCGATGAAAGTAGAGGAATAGTTTATTAAGAAAGGGGAAACTTGGAAAGGATGAAGGTTGAATACCTCTAGGTGGTCAAAATATCCGAATCAATTGTAGGTGCAAGCATCTATGAAAGAATGCCCAAAAAAAATGGAAAGAAAAATAGTACTTCAGAGACGATAAAAAAAAATTATTCCCCACCGGAGGCCCTTTTGTGCGGCTTGGGTATGAAGACCTTTGATATGTTCCCTCTCGAGTTACATCTCGACACCATGAATTATAGTTAAAAAGTATAAGAAATAAATCTATTAAATGAGGAGTCTGGATAAATTGATGAAATCATCTTTGATGAGCCCGGTGAGGGTGGGAGCATAGCTCTAATTTGATCCGGTAAGGGTCAAGTCTTATGTCAATCTAAAAGAAAGGTTATGGTGGCTAATGTGATGACATAATTTACATCACTGGCAAAAAGATCTGAGAACTGTCAAATACATAGAGATTGTATGATTGCAACAGCAGATTCTAATAAAATGAGAAGAATTATGGCCAAGAATGAGAAAAATTAATAGCTTATGGGATAAAGAGGACCCTATCCTTCCAAGTAAAGGTAAGGAGAGGTGACCTGCCCAATTATGTTTGCTGCAAGTCGAATGGCCAATGTCCGGTCGAATAATATTCCTAATAAGTTTCCGATGAGGACTATAAAAGGTATAACGTATTTGGGTCCCTTGAGGCACTAAGTGGGCAACATGTGCTTGGTTGTTTTTACCATCCAAACAAAACTAAAGGTTAGCCATAAAGGTAGGCTAAGGTTAGAGTTATTGGCAGATGTCGGATCTGATAAAGATATAAGGAAGGAGGCCTAAAGAGTTAATAAAAAAGAGAATGAAGCTAAATAATGAAACAAATAAAAATGATAGGCCTGGGTTAGAGGGTTCCTAAGATTGTCTTAAATTCATTGGAAGGGTTGATGACAATTTTAATCACAGATAAAGTCACTCGGATGGGAGGTTCAGAGAGAATCGGAACGAATAGGAACCCTAAGAATGTTGAGACTCAGTTTAGTTAGTGAAAGGATACATGAGGATGGTTCAAAAATGGGTAAACAGTCTTGCTATCATTTTCAGGTTTTTCTAGAATTGTTGATGTGTGGTGAAAGTTTCTGTTTTTAGTTGGAAAGTTTACAGAAGAAATTAAGGGGGGGGGGGGGGGGGAGGGGGGGGGGGGGGGGGGGGAAGGGGGGGGGGTATAAAGAATAAGATATAACCCAAGGGTGAATATAAGAAAGAGATTTAGCCAAAGTAGAGGTCCTATTTGAGGCCATTCTAAGTACCATAAGAGTTGGTAATTTTAGTTTTGACAAACTAATGTTATTTTTTTTAACTAATTTTAGTCTCTAGAAGTAGGAGGAACTCACTTTTATTTAGGTTTAAAAGACCTAAATTTATAAGTTAATTCTGGAGAGAAATTTAATTATGAATTTCTAGAAACTCATTTCAATAAAGATTCTACCGAAATTCCTTTCAATTAGAATTGGTATAAATCATGGTTAGCCCACAAATTTGGAACATTGACCGTAGAATAGGCCAGGTCGTTTAGAAGAAACCTAACTTGATTAAGTCGCCCTGGGATGTCGTCGGGGCTTTTACTCTAAGGAAGGAATAGTTTCAGGAAGGATTACGTCTGGCGCATGAAATGATAAGACGAATTGAGTATATAAGGGGATAGGGATTCGGTTGTCAACACTAAAAGTCCAGTAAATTTAGTCATGTTATAGGGTGCGTATGAAAGGAATCAAATTCGATATCTAAAAGGTCTGAATATTCCGTAGGAATCAGTATCATTGATGTCCAAGTGGTTTTTTAATTGCGACTTCGAGTTTTTGGTTTCGTCCAATAAGTAAGTAACCGTAGATAGGGATGGCGATAAGATTTAGATAATAGCAGGTAAAATAGTTTCAGATAATATCAAATTCTTGTTTTCAGTAAAAATCGGTTATAAGTGAGTTTTTAGTGCTGAATTAATTAGAATATAACCTACTAATGTAGTAATGAGTGATGAGAATAAATATTGTGTGATCGTGGAAATACGTTAATTGTTCTATAAGTGGGGAAGCACTGTCTTGGAGTCCTAGGCATCCTCATGTTGGCATTTCTAAAAGAAGGTAGTTTCTTCCTGGTAGGAGCTTAAATCCTATACATCTATCTGTCATTTTAGATAGTTAGAAATTAGAGGGTTTCTGCATATCTGTGATCAGCGGGTGGGAAAGGGTGCTGCCATTCAATGGACGAAGGTAGGAAGGCCGGCGAAGTAATGTTACGTTTTGATATTAAAGCTTCTCAAACAATAATTATGAATCAAAAAACAGCTACCAATGAAATTAGAGATCCGATGGATGAGATAATATTTCATGCTGCGTAGGCGTCTGGGTAGTCTGAATATCGTCGTGGCATGCCATTTAATCCTAGGAAGTGTTGAGGAAAGAAGGTTAAGTTTACCCCTAAAAATATAGTAAAGAAGTGAGGTTTTAATCATGAAGAATTCAGAGAAAATCCAGTGAATAAGGGGAATCAGTGAACAATACCTCCGAAAATTCCAAATACAGCTCCCATGGATAGAACGTAGTGGAAGTGAGCTACAACGTAATAGGTGTCATGAAGAATAATGTCGATTGAAGAGTTTGCTAAGATAACTCCTGTTAAGCCACCTACTGTAAATAAGAAAATAAAACCTAAGGTTCACAGGAGTGAGGGAGAGTATGAGAATTGAGAGCCTTGGAGAGTTCTTAGTCATCTGAAGATCTTAATTCCTGTGGGAATAGCAATAATTATGGTTGCTGATGTAAAGTATGCTCGGGTGTCTACATCTATACCTACAGTGAATATATGGTGAGCTCACACGAGGAATCCTAGAATTCCAATTGCTGTTATGGCATAGATTATCCCTAGTGTGCCGAATGCTTCTTTTTTGCCTGATTCTTGTGTGACGATGTGTGAGACTATGCCGAAAGCTGGTAGAATTAAGATGTAGACCTCGGGGTGCCCAAAAAATCAGAATAAGTGTTGGTAGAGAATAGGATCTCCCCCTCCAGCAGGGTCAAAGAAAGTAGTGTTTAGATTTCGGTCTGTAAGAAGTATAGTAATTGCTCCTGCTAGAACGGGGAGGGATAAAAGCAGAAGTACTGCAGTAATGAAGACGGATCATACGAATAAGGGTATTCGGTCTATGGATATCCCTCTGGTTCGTATATTGATTGCTGTAGTTATAAAATTTACAGCTCCGAGAATTGAGGAGACTCCGGCCAAATGAAGGGAGAAGATGCCTAGGTCGACTGATGCTCCTGCATGGGCGATTGATGCTGCTAGAGGAGGATAAACTGTCCACCCTGTTCCGACACCTCTCTCTACTATTCCCCTTGTAAGGAGAAGGGTGAGAGAAAATGGTAAAAGTCAGAATCTTATATTATTTATTCGAGGGAAGGCTATATCAGGGGCTCCAAGTATAAGGGGAACTAATCAATTCCCAAAACCCCCAATTATGATTGGTATAACTATGAAGAAAATCATTACGAAGGCGTGGGCTGTGACGATTACATTATAAATTTGATCGTCTCCGATTAATCTTCCTGGTTGACCAAGTTCGGCTCGAATAATTAGTCTTAGGGAAGTGCCTACTATACCGGATCAGGCTCCGAACACAAAGTATAGAGTACCGATGTCTTTATGATTTGTTGAGAAAAATCATCGTTGCGTTAGGCTTTATAGTGGAAAAAAGACGTCAAATTGCAAATTTGAAGATGTATAATTACTAAAGCTTAAGAGAGAATCTTGTAGTATAAGTAGTAAAGCTACATTAGCAGTTCTATCAAAACTGTCCTTTTATCAGGCATTATACTTATTAAGGAGGTTAAAATTATAGGGGTTAACTGTAGATTTATGTTTTTAAGAGGTGTTCTTAGAAGATTAAATCTTAGATTAGAAGAAGGTGTCTACTTGAATAGGTTGAGATAGGCTTAAAGTTTGATTCTTGCTTGAACTTTTATTTTATAATTAAGGTATATGTGTATCTTGGTGGGAAAGAAGTAAATATAATAGAGATAATTTATAATAAGTCGTAGTTTTGTTATTCGCAGTATGGAAGATTAAATATTGGTTTAGGATCCGATTTAGTAAATTATAAAAAGTTTGATGAAATTTTGTGCCAGCAATCGCGGTTAGACTTAAAAGCTTAGTAAAGGTGTTTTAGTTTAGGTTATTCTTATGTTTAAAGGTAAATTGAAATTTATAGTAATAAAAGGTGAAATTGGTTTATTAGGAATAAATGGAAGTTGGATTATAAATAGGAGGAGACTCGGAAATTAAGGTATAAACTAGGATTAGATACCCTATTATACTTAAAAGATAAAAATAAAACTTGAATATTAATAGATATGGTCTTTAAATTCAAAGAATTTGGCGGTATTTTAGTCTTGTTAGAGGAACCTGTTCTGTAAATGATACAACACGAAAAATCTTACTTACTCTTGTTTAGCAGTTTGTATACCGTCATTATCAGATAACCTTTGTTGAGGTAGTTATTGAAATTTGAGAAGTAAAGTATATTAGATCAAGGTGCAGTTTATGGGTAAGAAGAAATGGGTTACAATAAAATTTATTTATTACGAATCAGTAAAAGAATAGTTTCTGTGAAGGGGGATTTAATTGTAATACATAATTTAGTGAGTTAGTGTGATATGAGAACTAAAGTATGTACATATCGCCCGTCGCTTCCGCTTAAGGTGGAATAAGTCGTAACATAGTAGGTGTACTGGAAGGTGTACCTGGAACTAAATTTACTTTGGCAGAGGATATGCGTTAAATTTAGAATTTAATTATATAGAAGAGCACTCTATAGGTAAAAGTATTGAGGACAGTGCTGTGGCTATTAGAATTGTGAGATATTTAATGTTGATAGTTTGTGTTTTAGTTAGAGTGGCGTTTGTAACTCTTTTGGAGCGTAAGATTTTAGGTTATATTCAAATTCGTGAGGGTCCTAATAAATTGGGCATTCTGGGGTTACTTCAGCCTTTTTCGGATGCTATTAAATTGTTTGTAAAAGAGCAGAATTCACCGGTAATATCTAATTTTTACCTTATTATTTGTCGCCGGTATTCAGTTTATTTATTGCTTTAATTTTGTGAGGGGTTATTCCTTATGATTTAGGATTAGTGGATTTTGATATAGGAATGTTATTTTTTTTATGTTGTTTGAGATTAAGGGTCTATCCTTTGTTAAGGGCCGGATGGGCTTCAAATTGTAAATATTCTTTATTAGGGAGTCTTCGTGCTGTAGCACAGACTATTTCATATGAGGTAAGGTTAGCTTTAATTTTGTTATTCTATGTGTTTTTAGTTGGAAGATTTAGGTTCATAGAATTGAGATATTATCAGGAAAGAATGTGGTTTGTTTGATTAACATTTCCATTATCTATAGTTTGGCTTGGTTCTTGTTTGGCAGAGATAAATCGCACTCCTTTTGATTTTGCAGAAGGGGAGTCTGAGTTGGTTTCTGGGTTTAATACTGAGTATAGGAGAGGGTGGGTGCGGGGAACTTTACCGCGACTGTGATACGATAAATTGATGTATATGGCTTGAAAAAGGTTTCTTCCTATATCTTTAAATTTTTTAATTTTTTTCCTTAGGCTAAAATTAATTTTAGTGTAAACTAAATTTATATGTTGATGGGTACTGGAAGATTCTTCCTTTAAATGCTTTCAAAACATTTGTTTTAAATAAACTAAATAGCCATTTTAGAAGAAGGTCTGTTAAAAGGGTAGCCAAAGGGTCAGTAATATAATAGGAAAAGTAGATGACAGTTAGAGCTTGACCTGTGAAAATATAAGGATCCTCTACAGACCGAGCTCCGATCCATGTTAATAAAATGATTGTGGAGATAAGAGTTCAAAATAGAAGCTGGTTTAAAGGATAAAAGGTAAGGCCTCGGAATTTTGATAGGGAGGTGAATGGGAGGAGTCAAAGGATCGCAACTGATAATATTAAAGCGATAACCCCTCCTAATTTGTTTGGGATGGATCGAAGGATGGCGTATGCAAATAGAAAATATCATTCAGGTTGAATATGTACTGGTGTAATTAGAGGGTTAGCCGGGGTAAAATTATCAGGGTCTCCGAGTAAGTATGGGTTTAGGAGAGTTAGGAGGACTAGGAGTATAAGTATGATTAGGAACCCTACAATATCTTTAAATGTAAAGTAGGGGTGGAAGGGGATTTTGTCTAGAGAGGAGGTTACTCCTAAAGGGTTGTTGGCTCCAGAGTGGTGGATGAATAAAATATGGACGAGTGTGGCTGCAGCAATTAGAAATGGCAGCAGAAAGTGGAATGTAAAGAATCGAGTTAAGGTGGCGTTATCAACTGCGAACCCTCCCCAAATTCATTGGACTAAATCTGTGCCAATATAGGGAATGGCAGAAAATAAGTTTGTAATAACGGTGGCACCCCAAAACGATATTTGTCCTCAAGGTAGGACATAACCTAGAAAGGCTGTGGCTATTGTTAAAAACAGAATTAGAACGCCAATCCTCCAAGCGTGGAAAAGAGCAAATGACCCGTAATAAACACCTCGTCCGATGTGGGAGTAGATACAGATAAAGAAAAAGGAGGCCCCATTTGCATGAAGGGTGCGGAACAATCACCCGTAATTAACATCACGACAGATGTGGGCTACGTTCGAAAAAGCTAGGTCAATATGCGGGGTAAAATGAATTGACAAAAATAGTCCGGTTGCGATCTGAGCTACTAGACATAACCCTAAGAGGGACCCGAAATTTCAAAAAATTGAGATGTTAGTAGGAATTGGCATATCTACGAGTGCGGAATTAACGAGTTTAAGCAAAGGATGGGATTTACGTAAAGGCGAAGTCATAAGTTTTGGGAGAGTGAAGATTAGAGTAATTAAAGAGGAGATAAGGGTGTATGATGGTATTAGGTATTGAGGGTTTCGGGTTGTTAACTATAGTTTTTTGTGGGTTCTGAGCGTTTATCTCGAATCATAAGCATTTGTTGAATGTTTTACTAAGGTTGGAATTTATTATATTAAATGTGTTTGGGTTTATGAGAGTTTACACGTTCAGGGTTGGTTTAGAGGGTGTGTTTGTAATATTTTTTTTAGTGATGGTTGCGTGTGAAGGGGCTTTAGGTTTATCTTTATTGGTCTCTATTGTTCGCTCACATGGTAATGATTATTTTAGGGGATTTGGAATTTTAGTATGTTAAAGTTTTTGGTGTTTAATTTGGTTTTAATGGGGTTTGTGAGGAATTGAAGGCTTATTCAGGTGGGTTTATTGATAATATGCTTTATGGGATTGTTAATAATAAACCATGATTTTTGTTCTTTTTGTCTGGGTTATATAATGAGGGTTGATTATTTAAGATATATTTTGATTGTATTAAGAGTTTGGATTGTAATATTAATAGTTTTCAGGAGAACTGTAGTAAAGAAAATAGGTAATTTTTGTGTGGGGTTTTTGTCAGTGAATTTGATTTTGTTAATAGTTTTAGTCTTAACTTTTAGATCAGTAAATTATTTAATGTTCTACATTAGATTTGAGAGCTCATTGGTTCCCATACTTTATTAATTTGGTT